GACTGGGACCTGTTCATATATGTTCTTGGCAGATGATCCAGAAGTGGTTTGGCATTGCCTTCTTCTGTGTGTGAATGGGGTAATTGTTGGGATGCCACGGAGAAACCGGGAAAGCCCCCGGAGGAAAACTCCGTGTTGCCTAGACCACGGCCTTGCCCAACACAAGTTATAAATTCGGGCACCGCCGGGAATCGAACCCGAGACCCCAGGATTACAAGGCCAGCGTTCTAACCGCTAGACCACCGTGGCATCTGTTTTAGGTAGGCCTCAATAAGTATCTTCGCATTTCTTCTGTCGTTGATAAAGCGTTTGCTTGTAATTTTTAATTAAGCGTTATACAACTGGTCCTAAAATTATTCGTGTGTGACGTAAGTAAGAGCCGTGGTACCTGAAGTATAAGGTCACGAAGCAGGCCAGTTTTTATGTTTGTCTGCTTACATCACAACTCAATTCAACTAAGTGTTTATCTCTGTTCTGTCTTACTGATTAGTCTTTTCAAGAACCACTCTTTAAGTAATGCATACGACACACAACATTTACATAAACAGACTTTGATTCTCCTTCATCGTATTATGATATTACTGCAGTCAAGAAATAGACACTGATTAATGTTGCAGTCATACGAGGAGGAAGACATAGGAGGTATTGGAGTCATTAATACTTAGCCCCGAGGTTAAACATATGCTAAAGATGTATTATTTTAAACTAATGTTCCTGAAGCAGACCAAGTTTAATTACAACATTCAGTGACTGCCTGCATTATTCTTGTTAGCTGGTATTAGTTTTTCTTAAAATATGCCCTGTTAACTGTACATAAAAGGTGTATTCTGAGTGTGAAACAAACTCGACAGAAGTATCAGATAGAGAATAAAATATGAAGTTGTTCCAAACATGAATTAGGACTCACCTACCAGAACGAAATATTCCAGTCCAAACGTCGCACATTGATGACTGTGCATGCTATTTTACAAGAAAAAAACGGAAAATATAGTTGGACTGTGGCATGTATACAAAGTAACAAATTCCACGATACCAGCTTTTACTTGAACAACTATACAAACTCGGGTAGTGACAAGCATAAGAAATCCCAGCTTTTAGAAACCAGAATGTTCAGGAGAATGTTCATCACATGAGGCCAGTCCAAACTTTCAAAGCCAATCCACATTCCAAGGCATCGATCTTGACATTGTGAACACTGAAATCGTGGTTTCAAATCTCATTCGAGTTACGGATTACTCTCTACGTCTTCCTGTGATGAACCGTTCTGTACGAGCTGAACACCCAGAACCAGAAGGAACCATACCAATTTCAAAAATATTTCTGTAAAAGCTGAACGAGAATGTTATCCTCCAGCTTATGTCTAGCTCCCTAAGTCTTCACTTCTCTTTAGTTTACCTGATAATTATTTCGCACGCGCTAATAACTTGCTTCATTCAGGGTGCATACCTATTCATCTATCGTCAATGATTTTATCACTGTTTCAATGTTAGGTATAGTATTTAATTATGCAATTTTCTCCATCTTCCGTGACTCCTATCTTTGTTAAAATTATTCACCTCAGCCAAAGGTCCTCAATTTATATTCTATTAGTGATAGATCAGATTTTAAGCCCAACCATTTAGAACGCCCTGATGACATTTACGGCACTACCGGACATTATTGGAACTACAACGCTATGATAAGAAACAAAATACTCACTTTCTTCCGTGGAAGAGAGCACGATCTCGAAGGCCATGGTTCTATTGAAGTCAGGAGTTCTGAAGAAACTTCCACGTCCTGCGAGAGACAAACGCTTACAGTACTGGCAAATTGTGGGAGTTGTTCAATACAAGGAGCTCGCAAGATACACTCATACGAAGATAAGAAGTGATGATACAATGCAATCGATCACTCTTCCTCAATCGATAGTAGACATAGGAATTACTTATATCAAATGGCCAATAACAAAAACTTCTTTTATATTTATATATAAGCAATGAGTTTTACGACCTTCAGTTAAATTCATGTAACACATGCAGTCACAGATCTTCAGTTAAATTATTACGTCTTAACTTCCTTCAGTCACTTAACACCTCGAGTAGGAAGAAGAAGAAGAAACACTTCATGAAGGACTAGCGATGCGGCAGAAAACTTGCTATACATGGCACTAACACTTCGGGCACTTCAAATTACGCTGCCATTGGAAAGATTCCTTCAGGCTAGGAAATATACTAACTAAGGTCTTCGAAAATCGTGCTGACGTGCGTACATCGGAAGTAGAAGTTCAGAAAGGAAAACTAAGCCGTGTTCGGCTTCTCATAAAAACTCATTCTTCATGCCTTTCCGCTTTATTTTTCTTTGATTTAACAATTTATGTGTAGATATTTTTTAAAAAAAAACCTTTTATATTATTGTAATTTATAAATTCAGTTTGCGGGATGCTGCAGACGATTGGCATTGAATGTTTATAGATATCAGAACAGAACAAGTTTTAAAGCGACGTATCTCGCTCTTAGTATGGGAGTGTTGAAACGAAATTCATTATGTTTTGTTATTATTTTAATAAAATTAAAATAATATAAATAATTTTTATTCAAATAAGGGACTATCAGTCTTTCAAAACCTGGGGCACATTAACTCTCTATTATCCACTCACTTATAATTAACACCGTATTTAATGTAGGAGTTAACTATTTTTTACATTTTACAGAGCAACAAAATACTCACACATGCGTGTTGACCGCCAATGTGCCGTCTGTTGGAATGAATTACTTAAATAATAAACCAGTAGGCATAGAATATAAAGCAGACCACTCATTTACATCAAATCCCAAGGTTAAGAATGCGTGACCCCCCCCCCCCCATTACGTCTCAACGGTGGATGCATAGACACAAGAGAAAGCTTAACACAAGATCCCTCAATTATTTAATCTCCATTACATTTCGTGTTTGGTTTTCAAATACATATAATCGATATTATCCTCTCAAATTACGAGATTACTTTTTACAGCTGCACACAAAACTCGAAAATCAACTGTGATTTGTACGGGTACTTTAATTGTCACGTTCTGTGTAATGTATGGGAAGAAAGCTTTTTCGTCACTGAATAACTTTGACTGAACCTCATCATCAATTTTATAATGCACTTTGCCTCCGCATAATCGTATACTTTCCGAAATAAAGTATAAGTAGTTTGTACTGATTTATTTGAAATGCTTTTTTTACATTCATCATTGTAGTAATGTATTCATGCTACACA